AGATGAAGGAAACTTGGCCGATTTGTTTCTGCTTCAGTCGGGAATCGAACCCGGGCCCTTTGGCCTACGACCCTCGAGGTGTCAAAGAGAGACAGAGAGAGAGAGAGAGAGAGAGAGAGAGAGAGAGAGAGAGAGAGAGAGAGAGAGAGAGAGAGAGAGAGAGATAGAGAGAGAGAGAGAGAGAGAGAGAGAGAGAGAGAGAGAGAGAGAGAGAGAGAGAGAGAGAAAAAAAAGAGGAAGATAACTGAACAAAGATAAAAAAACAATACACGAGAATACAATAAAAATGACAGATGAGAGAGAATCAGATGTAATAGGTAGCACAGATGGAGGGAAAGGCGTAAGTGGTAGAAACAGGATCAGGTAGAAAGTAGAAAGTGGAACATGTGGAACACAGGTTGACTCTGGTTGGGAAAGTGCACCACCGTCAGTGACTTTAGACAGTGTCTACTGTTCAGTGTCTACTACCTACCTGCAGATAGGTCTAAGGTAGCCATGGCCATTTAAGAAACATTTGTGCAACATGGCAACCCGTTCTCGCAAATTTAATAAGTCAATATTGACTTATTAGTTGCGTGCATAGGTGACATACTAAACATAATAGTTTCCCTTGAAAAGCTTCATAGAAAACACCGACCTTACCTAACCTACTTAGTATTTTAAAATAAGCATCTTATAGCTTCGTAATTACAATTGTTACTTAACCTATTATAGGTATAGGTTAGGTAATAATTGTAATTACGAAGCAATAAGATGCTTATCTTAACATACTAAGTAGGTTAGGTAAGGTCGGTGTTTTCTATGAAGCTTTTCAAGGGAAACTATTATGTTAAGTATGTCACCTATGTACATATTTAATAAGTCAATATTGACTTATTAAATTTGCGAGAACGGGTTGACATGGACGACTTGGCAGCATGCGTGCCTGGAGCGCCCTGCAGGGATGCAAGTCTCATCCGTCCACAACCACAATATTTCCTCGCAGATGCACATATTCAACTGATGTTAGGTTGCCAAGTCCCTTGTAGTTCTACCAGGAAGATGTTTACAAGTCTGAGTTACCCAGAACAAGTGCAAAGTAGCCAAGAATTTTCTTGTATCATTTTTTCACTTAGTAGAACGTTATAAAAAATGTTGTACTAGAGTCACATCACCCGGCCACTGGGCTTAATGTAAAAAAAACCCACCGCCAATTCAATCAATGATGAATTGGCGTTAGTTTGACGATGAATCAGTCATCAACATCAGTATCATTTTTAATTAACACAGATAACATTGATTCAACATCAAACCAACACCACTGTTGGATATTTCCAGCGGGTACAGTATCCAGGCGGCTCCATGTTCGAAGATCGAACATTGGTTCGATGTTGAAACAACGTGGGAGACTTTGATTCGATGATGAATGTACCTTGATGTTGATACTGTGGCCAGTGATCAGTGCGTGGGCACATGTTGGGCAAGTGGCGGTGATGCAACGGTACTGTAGCATTGTGTGCCACTGGAACCATCCCAGGACTACACGACCACTATCAGGTCACGCATGAACAAACCTGCTCATGACCTCTGATCACCCTGAGACAGAGTAAAGTCTGACCTATTAACACCCAGCAGAGCCAATCACAATTCTGGCGAATGTTGCCACACTTGATACAGCCATCCCTCTCCAGGTGTCTAATTACACAGGTGTTACCCAGATGGCATCCAATTATCCTCAAGTCTACGGTGAGCCCCCTGGCGTGGTCTTGCCGTCTCACGTGATCCTCCTGTCTGTCTCTCGCGCGGTCTGCCTGTCCCTCTCACGGGGGTCTGCCTGTCTCTCTCGGGCGGTCTGCCTGTCCCTCTCACGGGGTCTGCCTGTCCCTCTCACGGGGTCTGCCTGTCCCTCTCACGGGGTCTGCTTGTCCCTCTCACGGGGTCTGCCTGTCCCTCTCACGGGGTCTGCCTGTCCCTCTCACGGGGTCTGCCTGTCCCTCTCACGGGGTCTGCCTGTCCCTCTCACGGGGTCTGCCTGTCCCTCTCACGGGGTCTGCCTGTCCCTCTCACGGGGTCTGCCTGTCCCTCTCACGGGGTCTGCTTGTCCCTCTCACGGGGTCTGCCTGTCCCTCTCACGGGGTCTGCCTGTCCCTCTCACGGGGTCTGCCTGTCTTGTGTTGCTTAGTAAACTACTATCTAAAAGCTAAGTATGTGCGACTTCGTGACTATTGACGACCGTCACAATAGGTATTGTCTAAACAGGAGGACGGGTTGTTTGAGACGTGGGATGAGTGAGCCATCGGCCGTGTGTAGTGTAAATGGTGACAGTGATGATGATGGTAGTGTAACAAGGATGGTCGCCCTCATGAACGCTGTGTGGTGACGTGGCCTCGCTCACCCGAGCCAGGCTGGGGACCACTGGTAGTCTTTTACAATACAAGAAAAGTGATTCTTGCCAGAGTACCAATGGTAAGCTTCGTTATTGGGTTCACGTTGCTGCTGTGTGGCATGACTTTTGTTTTATTAATGATGTCATTCCCAATCCATCCATGTTAGGCACATACCCCACATAAATTACTGTACAAAATTGGGTGAGGTTAAGTAGCACAAGCATTTGGCCTCCAACACACATTATATTTTATACACATACCATAGAGGAGGTGCCCAGTAGTGCCCAGATACACTGTCTCCCTCTCCCCTCCCCCACCACAGCTGTCTCTCTCCCTTTCCCTCTCCCTTTATCTCAGCAAAAGCTCTCCATTCACTGCTCCTGGTCCGGACACGTGTTGATGACACGTGTCGCTAGTGGCCGGGGTTGATGTAGCTGTTCCGTCAACAACCTCGGGTGCAGCCACCTACCCCATCCTCAAGCCTCCGTGGAGCTAACTTCATCAACTTCAGAATATTCCCATTATACCCCATTAAATGATATACTCTTTCTGCCAATTTTCGCAGACAGTGCGTAATGTTTCACTATATAAAAGAAGACAATTGAGTTTTTAATATAATTTTGTAGAAGTTTTAAAAGGTGGAGTCCATAAGAGAGTCACAGGAGTTACTGTAGCACTGTGCCTCGCTGTGATCTCTATACTGCTGACCCTGACCCAAGCACGACCACCACACACCACAACAACCCTGCTGGAACACTGGGTTAGGGCTAGCCTGGAACGTCTATAGCCGGCAACCTCAAACATTCTAATTTTATATACGTTCATTATATCTATACATACACGTATCCCTCATAAATCACTATGAGGTACATTATATATATATATATATATATATATATATATATATATATATATATATATATATATATATATATATATATATATATATATATATATATATATATATATATTAATTAGCTGCTATGTAGGGGTGTCCACTCAAACGCTGAGTGGCGCTGCCGAATAAACTCGCCACTCAGGACAAAACAGAGCAAAACTTAAAACTTGTATTATATACATACACCCAATGCGTGGGTTTGTGCGTGCGAGCGCGCACATTTGCAAGCATGCATGTGTATAAATTTATGACCGCGGATACAGGAATTTTTATTCTGTGATCCTATAGCAATTTTTTTTTTTTATCAACACTCAAACTTTGCCTGGCGATTTTATGACGCAACAAAAGCTGTTAAATTTCCAGTTTGTTGTTTCTAAAAGAAAAAAACAAGTGAGGAACGGACAAACCTCAGAGAGCAAAGTTCAGTAAAATAGTGTGCGAGGAGGAGGAGGAGGAGGAGGATGGCAGTGAGGCTGCAGTGTCCCCTCCCGCGCCTGCTGCTGTAGTCACTGCGTCACTCACAGTGAGGCCCGCGACAATAGAGGCGGCCTCGACCCCCTGTCCACACTGTCTCTGGCGTGTGAGGCCGTCACTCGCACCGCGCGCCACCAACAACAACGTCCCTGCCGCCGTAAAACCAAATTTATGGGAGGGTCGCGCCCCACGGACTGGCATCAGAGCGGCAGCGGGACGTCAGGTGGTGTACTGTCGCAGTTATGGCCGCTTCTCTCCACCACTACTGGGCACCCTGGCACGCTGGGCATGGGGGGCCTCGCTCCCTGGCTGGGCTTGGGGGGTCTCGCTCCCTGGCTAGGCTTGGGGGGCCTCGCTCCCTGGCTGGGCTTGGGGGGCCCTCGCTCCCTGGCTGGGCTTGGGGGGTCTCGCTCCCTGGCTGGGCTTGGGGGGCCTCGCTCCCTGGCTGGGCTTGGGGGGGGGGCTCGCTCCCTGGCTGGGCTGTAGGAGAGACTTGCTCTCTCTTGCGTTTCTAGAAAAGCTCGTTTTCCAATAAGCTTAGAATTGGCTGCGTTAGCTTATGTTGTATAAGATTAGGTTAAGCTGTGTTAACATAAGATTCGTGTGTTATCTTAGGTAAGCAAGATCTATAAGAAAAAAATTAATGTTCAGGAAGCTTGAATATTAAGTAATTATTAACCAAAGTCTTGAATAAAACCTGCCACCAAAATTCAAGAGTAATCAATGTCTTTAAACCGGAATGTGTGTACAATGTTGGAGGTCAGACGTTTGGGGCCAGCGTCGCCCAACATCAACATAGCAGGGTGACTGGTGGGAAGTAGGGGGCTGTCATAGGCCGCTTAAGGTGCGGCCCAAATGCAACCCAATAAGGGTAGGGGAAGGGGTCGGCTCCTATTGCGAACCCCAGGAAATATTAAAATATTTTGTCCAGTGTTTCGGCTGATTATAATATACACTGAGAGGAGATGGGATGATGTTTATTTACAGGTTTATCGAAATTTGCTTATGGTGATGAGTAATTTATACCTGTGTGATTTATGTGTAAATGTGTAATTTATGCTTGTTAAGTTAAGCAAGTCCCAGCTGTGTCTGGGTACAAGTGACAGGATGAACAACCCAACGGGTTTGCTTCCTTTTGGGGAGTGTTGTACATGCTGCTATGGCGGTGTGTCCACTCACAAGATGAGTGGCGCTGTCCAATAAACTCGTCCCTCGGGGCAAAATTAAAAAAAAAAATTAAATTTATACTTGTGCAAGCGTACATGAAGTCAGTTGGTACGAAGATTTCCAAGATGTCAGTCAACCTGCAGTCAATTTACATTAGTCAATTTACACGTGCTCTCAATTTAATATCAAAGTTTGCACTCTGGCATATTTACATTTACGGAGCATATAAAGTGGCCCGTCGCTGCGAACATTCCCCCTCCACCTCCCCTTCCCCTACCCCCTCCCCCTCTCCTCCCCCTCCCCTCCCCCTCTCCCTCTCCTCCCCCCTCACCACTTTTCCCCTTTATCTCCCCCCTTCCCCCTCCTCTCCCCTCCCCTCCCCTCCCCCTCCCGTCCCCCCCCCCTCCACACGGGAGCCAGCGTCTCTGTGCCGCTCACTCCATCACTGTCTGTTCCTTTACCATTATACAATGAATTGATTACCCATTCATCTTCATCAGCTTACACACCCTCGCCACCCCGCACTCAACCTCTGTGAGCGCTCACTTGCACATGCTCGCCAGCACCCACGTGCACGCACGCACGCACGCACACACACACACACACACACACACACACACACACACACACACACACACACACACACACACACACACACACACACACACACACACCCGCACGAGGCAGAAACAAATGGGCAAAGTTTCTTTCACCCTAAGTGCCCCTGTTACCTAGCAGTAAATAGGTACCTGGGAGTTAGTCAGCTGTCACGGACTGCTTCCTGGGGTGTGTGTGTGTGTGGTGTGGAAAAAAAAAAAAAGTAGTTAGTAAACAGTTGATTGACAGTTGAGAGGTGGGCCGAAAGAGCAAAGCTCAACCCCCGCAAAAACACAACTAGTAAACACAACTAGTAAACACACACACACACACACACACATATTTTGATATGTGGGGTTGGTATCACACCGAACCTGTCCCCAGAGGCCCACATCAAAAGAATATCATCAGCGGCATATGCTAGACTGGCCAACATAAGAACTGCCTTCAGAAACTTGTGTAAGGAATCTTTCAGAACCCTGTATACCACTTATGTAAGACCAATCCTGGAGTATGTAGCTCCAGCCTGGAGTCCATACCTAGTTAAACACAAGACAAAGTTAGAGAAGATTCAGCGGTATGCCACCAGGCTCGTCCCGGAACTGAGAGGATTGAGCTACGAGGAAAGGCTAAAGGAGCTGAACCTCACATCCCTGGAAAACTGAAGAGTAAGGGGAGACATGATAACCACCTACAAAATTCTCAGGGGAATTGACAGGGTGGACAAAGACAAACTCTTCAGCACGGGTGGGACACGAACACGGGGACACAGGTGGAAACTTAGTACCCAGATGAGCCACAGAGACGTTAGAAAGAATTTTTTCAGTGTCAGAGTAGTTAATAAATGGAATGCACTAGGAAGTGATGTGGTGGAGGCTGACTCCATACACAGTTTCAAATGTAGATATGATAGAGCCCAGTAGGCTCAGGAATCTGTACACCAGTTGATTGACAGTTGAGAGGCGGGACCAAAGAGCCAAAGCTCAACCCCCGCAAGCACAATTAGGTGAGTACAATTAGGTGAGTACACACACACACACACATAGGTGAGTACACACACAGCGCCGAAGGGGGGGGGGGAGTCGATGTCCTAAGGGCCCGGATTCGTTTCCTGGCCGAGGTAGAAACAAATGGCCAAAGTTTCTTCCACCTTATGCAGCTGTTCACCTAGCAGTAAACAGGTACCTGGGAGTTAGACAGCTGTTATGGGTTGCATCATGGGCATGTGTGTGTACTCAACCCATTCTCGTACTTTCTTACAGTCAATATTGACTTATTAAATAAGTGTATATGTGACATACTAATTTATTGTGAATATTCTAATTTACCTTGAAAAGCTTCACAGAAAACACCGACCTTACCTAACCTTCTTAGTATGTTAAGATGAGCATCTTATTGCTTCGTAATAACAATTATTACTTAACCTATACCTATAATAGGTTAAGTAATAATTGTAATTACGAAGCAATAAGATGCTTATCTTAACATACTAAGAAGGTTAGATAAGGTCGGTGTTTTCTATGAAGCTTTTCAAGGTAAATTAGAATATTCACAATAAATTAGTATGTCACATATGCACGTATTTAATAAGTCAATATTGACTATACGAAAGTGCGAGAACGGGTTGGTGTACTCGCTTATTTGTACTCCCTTATTTGTGTGTGTGCGCGCGCATGTGTGTGTGTGTACTCACCTATTTAAACTCACCTATTTGTGCCTGCAGGATCGAGCATTGACTCTTGGATCCCGCCTTTCCAGCTATCGGTTGTTTACAGCAATGACTCCTGTCCCATTTCCCTATCATACCTAGTTTTAAAAGTATGAATAGTATTTGCTTCCACAACCTGTTCCCCAAGTGCATTCCATTTTTTCCACTACTCTCACGCTAAAAGAAACTTCCTAACATCTCTGTGACTCATCTGAGTTTCCAGTTTCCACCCATGTCCCCTCGTTCTGTTATTATTACGTGTGAACATTTCATCTATTTCCACTTTGTCAGTTCCCCTGATTATTTTATATGTCCCTATCATATCTCCTCTCTCCCTTCTTTTCTCTAGTGTCGTAAGGTTCAGTTCCTGCAGACGCTCTTCATATCCCATCCCTCGTAACTCTGGGACAAGCCTCGTCGCAAACCTCTGGACCTTCTCCAGTTTCTTTATGTGTTTCTTCAGTGGGGGCTCCATGATGGCGCGGCATACTCTAAGACGGTCTCACGTAGGCAGTGTAAGCGCCCTAAAAGTCTCCTCATTTAGGTTTCTGAATGAAGTTCTAATTGTCGCCAGTGTAGAGTACGCTGCTGTCGTTATCCTATTTGTGTGTGTGTGTGTGTGTGTGTGTGTGTGTGTGTGTGTGTGTGTGTGTGTGTGTGTGTGTGTGTGGCGCAGGCGCGTGCGGGCGCACCTAGATGAGGAAGGCGCAGCAGTGACCGCAAACAATGCAGTTTTGTCCACTTGGCGTTTGAACCCGGTGTGGTGAGAGCCATTCCTTGTAAGCCGGAGACGGAGACGCGTGACAACTGGCAGCGGTGATCCATCAGACTAATTACCCGCACAAACACCGCCGCCCAGAGGCGCCTCCCACCAGGAGCCCTTCATGCACCTAACTAAGCCTAGCCTCCTATTGACGTGAGAGCCAGCCATTACTCTTATTAAAATGTGGCCTGACTGAGTCTCTCTCTCTCGTCTCTCTCTCTCTCTCTCTTCTCTCTCTCATCTCTCTCTCCTCTCTCTCTCTCTCTCTCTCTCTCTCTCTCTCTCTCTCTCTCCCTCTCTCTCCTCTCTCTCTCCTCTCTCTCTCTCTCTCTCTCCTCTCTCTCTCTCTCTCTCTCTCTCTCTCTAACTCTCCCAATATATCACTTGGAAAACGCTGAATACATGTAAACAACTGCAGTAATTCAGATAATTTTATTACGAACAGTTTGCATCTATCCGGCCCCAACGAGGGCGTGACATCCGGCACCAAGGAGGGCGTGACATCCGGCACCAAGGAGGGCGTGACATCCGGCCCCAAGGAGGGCGTGACATCTGGCCCCAAGGAGGGCGTGACATCCGGCCCCAAGGAGGGCGTGACATCCGGCCCCAAGGAGGGCGTGACATCCGGCCCCAACGAGGGCGTGACATCCGGCACCAAGGAGGGCGTGACATCCGGCACCAAGGAGGGCGTGACATCCGGCCCCAAGAAGGGCGTGACATCCGGCCCCAAGGAGGGCGTGACATCCGGCCCCAACGAGGGCGTGACATCCGGCCCCAAGGAGGGCGTGACATCCGGCCCCAAGGAGGGCGTGACATCCGGCCCCAAGGAGGGCGTGACATCCGGCCCCAAGGAGGGCGTGACATCCGGACATCCCCCAAGGAGGGCGTGACATCCGGCCCCAAGGAGGGCGTGACAATCCGGCCCCAAGGAGGGCGTGACATCCGGCCCCAAGGAGGGCGTGACATCCGGCCCCCAACGAGGCGTTGACATCCGGCCCCAACGAGGGCGTGACATCCGGCCCCAACGAGGGCGTGACATCCGGCCCCAAGGAGGGCGTGACATCCGGCCCCAAGGAGGGCGTAACATCCGGCCCCAACGAGGGCGTGACATCCGGCCCAAACGAGGGCGTGACATCCGGCCCCAACGAGGGTGTGACATCCGGCCCTAACGAGGGCGTGACATCCGGCCCGAACGGGGCCGTGACATTCAGCCCAACGAGGGCGTGACATCCGGCCCCAACGAGGACGTGACATCCGGCCGTAACGAGGGCGTGACATCCGGCCCCAACGAGGGCGTGACATCCGGCCTCCAACGAGGGCGTGACATCCGGCCCCCCAGAGCCACTTGGACCGTCGGGGAACGAGGGGTCACACAAGGGGTGGGACCAGGGGGACGAGGGGTCACACAAGGGGTGGGACCAGGACGAGAGAGGACAAAAGCTGACGAAGATGGCTGTACTCTTCAAGTCACTTGTGTTGTCCCGTCTTGAGTACTGCTCAGTACTCACTTCCCCCTTCAGAGCAGGAGAGATTGCTGAAATAGAGGGAATACAGAGAACCTATACGGCACGCATAGACGAGATAAAGCACCTAAATTATTGGGATCGTCTCAAAGCCCTCCAAATGTAC